TTGACCGGACTATAAGTTCGAAAACCAAGACCCAAATCAAAATTCTACAGGAGAGAACGAAATTAATAAAACAACTATTATATCTACAAAACAGTACCCTTCAACCACACGTGAGTAGGAAGAAATTGTGGAAGGGAGAGGGGGAGCAGGTACTGTGTACCACTATACCCCATTCCTCCTTTTTTTTGCTTTTATCAGTAGCTTAAAAATGTGCCGGTATAAAGCAGGCTTCACTGGATCAATAATACTGTCAGAATTTGACACCTACTGACAGTATTCCTCAATATTTGACATTACACCTTCCGTGCTCAATTTTCATAGTGTTTCCCCATGATTGCTGCTCCAGAATTGATAATTCAAGATGTAGGTTCGTATACATACCCAGTGGTACTGTTAGAGTGACTGTAATTTTCTATTTTCTAATTATATATATTTATTCTTCTTTACGCTTAAGCTTTTAATTATACCAACAAGTAGCTTTTCGTCGCGCAGAATGGATAGTCCAAGAAGCAAGTTCATTACATACTCACTGGTACCACCAGTGCGATTGGAATCTTCTATTTATTTAATTCTCTTCTGAAATTGCTTCTAAATATATTTATTTTTCTCTTCACATAAGCTTTTAATTATACCATGCAGTTTTTCGTTTTTTTTCCAAAGTTTGAACATATCCCGGTATGCACTATAAACTTTAAAATTTGTTTTTCTTTATCAACACCCTCCTTGTGGTTTTCAGTTTGCGATGGAAACTGATGAAGTATTGAAAGAGCTACGTATTGTTCTCAGACGGACAATATTTCATAAGTATTTTCGGATTTTAGATTTAGAAATTCTGCCAGCATTCTGAGAGCGCACATCAGTATTTGCTCTCACAGTATCTGTATTGTTAATAGTTTAAAATACTGATAACATTGAAGGACTGCGGTTCGTTTTATTTTATAAACGTGTGTAGATTTCAACTAAGTGTGTTAAAAACAATGGACTTAATCAAAATCTTTTTAAGATATTAACTTTAACTCCATGTATCTCGAAAACGGGGCGGCCAAATTAAAAATGACATAATAAAAGTCCCATTATTTTCACCTAAGTAATCTGTGGCTAATGGCTTGACTCAATAGTTTGTGACATCCTGTATTTCACGAAACTACGTATAGCCCAGTCATTATAGACATGAAAGAGCCCGTTTCGGGAAAAAAATACTATTAGAAGTTTCTCTGCGGAATATTGTTCGGAAACCTGTTATAAATAACATATCAAAAAATCAACTCGAGGCTAGTTGGGAAACTTTGTTTTAACAGTCGTCAAAGTTATGGGAAAGTGGTTTTTTGACTTACGTAAAAAAGCTATTATTCATAGCGAAAAAAGTTTATACAAAAAAGGTAGGTATTAAATAAGCCTATAAAATGAAAAAAGTCCTATTAAATTCCGATAATTTGTTTGTGCACAAGAGCTAAAAATGGTTGAATATTGCCGTTTTTTTCAATTGCTAATAATTAATGCAATTTTCATCGCAGACACTTGTAATTCAGGATTTTTGAGGCTTTTTACACCCTTAATAAGTGGTAAAAATTTTAGCTCGAAAGCTTCATGGGTTTGACGTTGGCGGAATTTGTTACATAAGAAGATGCTATTTTTCAATTCATTTTTCCCAAGCTCACAGGCGTTGTAGGATTTTGATCATTAGTTGTTTTTGTACCTAAATAGTTGTATAAACATAGACATTTACCGAGAATTTAGTTTTTCAAATTTAATTTGTTTAAAATTGACTTTGAATAAATGTTAATATTTATTAAATTGTTAAGATAGGTAATCATTATAAAATAAAATAGTAACCTCTTTACTTTAGTTTTCTTCGAATTTAAAAAAAAATCGTTGTTGTAAGTTGATTAGAAGCTGAGATAATTTTTTTTATTTATTTAATCGCAGTGACCTTAATTATTAATATTAAGAGCCGAAATTTGGAGAGAGTATACATTAAGAGCTATATTTTCATGTCCTACATTAACATTAAGGTGAATTCAACTATTTAATTTCGAAAAAGAAGATAGCGGCGATGCGTTCTATTACTTGGTCTAGCGAACGAGTGGGGAAGGCTAGGCTTAGCATGCGCGCTTGACGATGTAATAATAATATTAACATTTTTTCAGTCATTTTTAAACAAATTAAATTTGAAAAATTAAAATTAAATTATCAGTAAATGCATATGTCAATACAACTATTTAGGTACAAAAACAACTAATGATCGAAACCCTACAACGCCTGTGAGCTTGGGAAAAATGAATTGAAAATAGCATCTTCTTAGATAACAAATTCCGCCAACGCCAAGCTAATGAAGTTTTTGGGCTGAAATTTTTACCACTTATTAAGGGTGCAAAAAGCTTCGAAAATCCTGAATTACAAGTGTCTGCGATGAAAATTGCATTAATTATTAGCAATTGAAAAAAGCGGACAATTTCAACCATTTTTGAGCTCTTGCGCATAAACAAATTATCGGAATTTAATCGGACTTGTCTTATTTTACAGATTTATTTAATACCTATCTTTTTTGTATAAACCTTTTTTTCTCTATGAATAACAGTTTTTTTACGCCAGTCGAAAAACTACTTTTTCATCATTTTGACCATTGTTTTAACAATTTCCCAACTAGTCTCGAGTTGATTTTTTGATATTTTGTTTATAACACGTTTCTGAACAATATTCCGCAGAAAAACTTCTAATAGTATTTTTTTCCCGAAAAAAAGCTATAATGATTGGCCTAGTACTAAATATGGCATTATCTAACATTTGTATTAATTTATAAAATAAATGTAGATGGCGTTTATATCCAATCTCCTTGTAATTCATTCTTAATGAAATGGTCATATTTGTGAAAATATTGTTTGTTATACAGGGTGTTTTACAAGCTCTATGATAAACTTTTACAGATGGTTGCTGGGTTGATTGGAAACATTTTTTCTAATATGAACATAGGTCCGATTCGTTTTTATGTAGAAGTTACCAAGCATTTTAAGAAATATAAATTCATATTTCAAAGTAGTCTGATAAATAAAAATGATGGTTGCTATAACAATAATTATTATGTGTGTTTAAAGATTAAACATTAGTTAACTTTTATTAACCAAATTAACAAATCTTGAGATTATAAAAATTGTTCAAAATGTCCAACCTCAGCTCGAATGTAAGTGTCAAATCGGTGAACTCGACGGATGAGATTTGGATCATTTCTTGTCTGGTTAGCTGCATCCTAGATTCTTTCAAGTAGCTACTGACGGGTAGTGATTTTAACATGGTAGACAAGCTGCTTCATATGTCCCATAAATAAAAGTCCAAAGGATTTAGATCTGGGGTACGCGGTAGCCATGCTAATGGACCTTGTTGGCTTATCCATTTATGCGGGAAATGGATTTAACCAAAAAGTTACCTATCTCCCTCTATGTGGTGGCGCATCATCGTGCTGATACCACATATTTTGAACATTAAGCCCTAGCGTCATCAGTGAAATAAACAAGGTTGTTTTCTAAGGAAGCTCTGTACAGAATCTGCATTTAAACGATCATCTAAAATATGTACAGGCAGTAAATTATTGTTGAAAATGCTACCGCAAACGTTGATGTTGAAACGTTGCTGAAATCGTCTTGATCTAATTGCATGCGGATTTTCTAGTAAAGCCCAGATATGTTCATTACGATTATTAGGTATTTATGTCGTCCCTAGTAAAACACGCTTCATCGGACCATGAAATGAATCCATCATTTTGTGCATGTTGTTGAAGTAACCAGCTACAAAATTCTAATCGCTGAGAAGCATCTGCATCATATAACGTCTGTAGATTTCGGCGATGAAACGAACGTAATATTTCTCCTTTCAATACAAGCCATACAAAATTCGGTGATAAATGAAGATTACTCGCTGTACGCCGAATACTAATTAAAGAGTTGTCAATGACAGCATCTATTACATCTTCTTCATTTTGTACATTCACTTCAGTAAGAGGAATGGCGTTTTTTGGAGCGGGGTCACCTTCTTCTCAAAGTCTACGAAATGATGCACTAGAGACTGTGTGGGCAGGTTGATGTCTATTTGGGTATCTTCGTCGGTATTCTCGGGGTGCTTGTCAGGTTGTTCCATTGGAATACCCACAAGAATACCCCTACAAAGACAATATATACTCCTCAGTTGTAAATAAATGCATTTAGCAGTTTAAAGCTAAGTGTCATTAATAAACAAACTGACACAAACAAAAATTATTGTTATAGTAACCATCATTTTTATTTGTCAGACTACTTTGCTGTAATATCAAATTGTATTTTTTTAAATGCTTGTAACTTCTAGACCTATATTCATACAAGAAAAAATGTTTGAAATTAACCCAGATACCATCTGCCAAAGTTTGTCATTGAGCTTGTAGAACACCCTGTATTTATATATGAAAACATTAAACATACATCACACCCACATAAAAAATTAAAAGCATATGTACATTTGGAAACTCTGATGAGTGCATTTAATCCCTGAGGTAACCTACCTACCTATGTAGATATACATTTGGTTAGACAGAATGCAATTTATTTTATTACTGACAACCAGACAATCCGACTAGATAAATAAAACATGAACGATACAATACTTGCTTATTTACGACAGAACCTGCACCGATCGGGTCTCTAACGAGAGACCCATCTAAATAAAAAGATCCGATAACGATTTGCGATAAAAACCCAAACCCGACGAAGCGACAGCCATCCACGCATACGCTATAAATTACCAGCTATTAACCGAATATTCAATATCCAGTAAATAGGGAATTATCCCAGTCATAACAACATCAACCTACCCTTAAAAACCACCCCAAAAAGTAACGATTTTCCCTTCCAACCGCTTTATAACGCCGCGGCCAATGGTAGGCCGGCTGGATAATCCGAAAGGCGGGCCACAATCGTGAACCGCTACTATGACTACCAGGGAAGTGGAGAGGTAGCTATCAGTTCACCGTAGTAAGTTGTAAGTGACACTTGCCTTCAATCAGTTTATACAGTGTGTGCACAGAAACTCTCCACCAGTTCAGTGACTGTATTCAAGTATGAATATTAGTGAGTTCGTTGATCACTCCCAACTTGCAAAGCAACAAGGTGTGTGTCTGTGTATTACGAAATAATTTATGAATTTGTGCAGTGCAAGAAACGGACGACACATTTTTTACTTCTCTTGAAGAAGGCACAAGGATGTAGTCACTTGATACGGCACGAAAAAACGAAGTGTTTGGTGTTACTTTTTTCTTTTCCAGTTAAAATTAACATAAAGACGGCCCCATGCGAAATGATTGGGAATAAACCGGTTTTTAGCCCATAAATATACTTGCTTCACAATTAACTACTGATTGTAAATTACAGTTTGCCGTATTTTTTTTATTTTTTGTTAAAGAACACTGCTAAATTCACTCTTTTAACCTTTCCAATTGAATTGCATCAAAACTGAGTAAAAATTATTTTTTGCAGTGTTCCCTCAAGGCTACCAATTCCACGTAAAACAGGAAGCGGACAGCACGTCCCCACTGCTCACCCCTCCGCATACCCCCACCTATCCAGCTCTGTCGCCACCCCTAGCGAGCCACCCTTGTGAAAACTGGTACCGTCCAGAGCAGGTTGAGCCTGCGTACCAGTCCTACCCGATAATGCACTCCAGCATCGCTTATCCGAGTTACAACGTCTTCATGAATCAATGGCTGAGAAACGCCGCCATCTACCACCACGCCAGGAACCAATTTCAGGATTTAAGGACGCCGGGTCGCGCCCCGATACCCCCGAAAATTGGTGGAGGAAGCTCCAGGCCCAAGAAGCAATTTATATGCAAATACTGCAACAGGCAGTTCACCAAGAGTTACAATTTGTTGATACATGAAAGGACGCATACCGACGAGAGACCGTATTCTTGCGACATTTGCGGCAAGGCTTTTAGAAGGCAGGACCATCTTAGAGATCACAGGTAAGGATTTATTCTAAAAAAAAAATAACTCTTCATCTCCAAATTTATTATCATTTATTATTTTTATTTATGCCAATTTTTCTTATTCCAGATACATCCACAGCAAGGAGAAGCCGTTCAAATGCAACGAATGCGGCAAGGGTTTCTGTCAATCCAGAACGTTGGCGGTGCACAAGATTTTACACATGGAGGAATCGCCGCACAAGTGTCCTGTTTGCAACAAGTCTTTCAACCAGAGGTCGAATTTAAAAACACACATGCTCACCCACAGCGAGCGCCCTGTAGAGTGCTCTATGTGCGCACAATTTTTTGCAAGTTTCAACGAATTGAAGACTCACGAAATGACGCACTGCCAAGGCAAAGACAAGCCGGGTGAAACCCACATCGTCCCTACAACAATAGAAGAGATCCAGATCAGGACTGCATGCTTAGACTTAACCATGAAAAGGGAAGGTGAAGAAGTCAGCGTGAAGACCACCAAAGTAAAATTAGGATTTTCCATCGAGGACATCATGAAAAGATAAAATATTACGTTTTGTTTAATTTTTACTAAGTTAATTGTTGCCAAAGATGTTAATATTTTGTCTACCTCTGTTTGAGACTGAAAAACTCCTATGTTACCACTTTTTCATTAGATCTCCAGTTCCAAAAGTTTGTTCGTGTTATGGTTACGTTGATAGCATTGTATATAACGCGCTGTAATTTATTTATATTAATTAGTTATTAGGTTATTAGTAAAATGTTTTTTTACTTAGAAAAATAAATATTTATTTCATTTCAAAGGTATGTGACTTTATTTATTTTGCAGTTTGGGTCGTAAATCATGATAAGCATTTGACGAAAAGATAAGGCAGAATTTCTTTGAAGGAATTTCACAGTTTTTGCGACTGTTTGGGAGTTGATAAAATGTGAAATAATTTGAACTAGTAAAAACAAGGTAATAAATGCTTAAGTAGGTAGCCGATGATTATAGAATTAAATAAACCGCCTTTTGATGAATATTTTTCAATTTTGTGTTTTAAATTTTTCTCAGAAGGGATATTTTAAATTTGTTATTATCCACATTATGCTGCTAGGAATTTTAACAGTAGGTACTTGACTTTTGAATTTTGCAGGTAGTTGCAACAATATATTAGGCTATAATATACAATGCATAACAAATCACTTTATTACGCATGTAATATAATATCGTTCTTTGCAAATATATGAAAATTATAATTATAGGTACTGAATTTAATTGATTTGGAAAGTAGTAGTATTTATTTTCTATTCAACTACCAACATAAACAACCTAATGCAAATTTAGATTCAACAACTAAAATTATTATACTTATTATACAAATCAATTTACAGCAGTATTTTCTATAATAACCTTCGATGGTTTATGCATTGTCAAACCAAATGGGTAAATATGTATTTGCAAAGTCAATTTAATATTTGAACAAGTTTAACGGTCTTCATTAGCATTAAAGTTGGTGTTTTATAAACAAAAAATCGCAGTTTTAGTAAGTTAATGATATAATAAGTAGATCCATACAGGAAGTGACGAAAAAAGCGGAAAGAAGTAACGCTAAACTAGAGCGACTTCTTTCCGCTTTGAAAAATCACGGAGAACATGTAAACATCAGAAAATGTACCTTCCCTGTTTTGTCCAGCAAATTTGTAAAGATACTCAATAATTGTGATTAATGAATGTGTTAATAGTTTCCTAAAAGTATTTTGCGGAGTGTGATTAAGTTTATATAGTAGGCGACTTTCTGTATGTTCAGCAGGCGTATAAAATTTAGGAAATGTAAGATAAACACACCAGGTAAAAATATGGCCTAAAGAAAACTTATATCACTGGTACAGTAAAGAAATATTGTTTGTAACTTGCTTAGATTTTCTAAAATGCTGGACAAAAAATTGCGCATACAAACGCCCTTCCTTAACGTGGAGACTTCTACTAGTGATTTAGTAGTGCATCCTTTGAAAATCTACGACAGGAAATTATTTCCAATGTCTGAAACTTTTTTGACGTTTAAAATAATTTCGACGACTCTATTAAAATATTTTAGGTGCTGACAACTTTAGATATAAAAAAACTGTACTTTTTGATCGCAAGAACAGAGTTTCAAGATTATTATTAACTCTTTCGAAATTGTTTCTGGAAAAAATGTGACTCTATTTTGACCAGATGAGTAAGTTTTTAACTCTCTAATGAATATAAATCAACATATTTCCTTTGAAACGATATAATGTGAGTGTTGATATAGTCTTTTCCTTCAGTAGCAACTATAAAAATTGTAATTATGTATGAATAAAGTAATATATAAGTATAAAAAAAGAAGAGAACTTCAAAATTGAAAAACTAGTTAGATTTTCTTAAAAGCAATAAAACTTGTTCTTTTTTATTTTGGTTATTATATTATAAGTTCAAATCAATCAATAATTGTGTTACTAAGCAAGTCAATATTTAGTATTTTAAATTTTAGGTAGGTATATTTGTTGTTTATATAAACAATCGTATTTACGTGGAATTATTTAAAAAATTACTATGTGATACATTTTTACTTTTATAACCAAAAAGTACTCTGTAATTGTAATAATTGTCTTAACTTGATACCTATGTAGATAACACTTTAAGGACTTGGTGGTATTGATATAGATACAGATACAATTAACACTAAAAAATATGACGCGTAAAAATGATAAGAAATATACGTTTATATAGATACTTATTAGGTATTCACTTAAATACTTTGAAGGTATTATGTAAATTATCTCATCCACATAGATAATATCTAGCAGTTAAGTATTTCGTTTATCTGGTAGTAGAGAGGTAGAGAGGTACAATTTTGGTACATTTCACGGAATAAGTCACGTCCCTAGATATAACACTTTTAAGAGGAATTAAACTGTCGCCAGAACATATTTGTTCTACTGCAAATTACAATAAGTTAAGGAATATTCCGTCCTTGTATAATTCTGACGCAGATTTGATATCATGTATAATTAAACCAAAATCCGGATTTAAGTAATACATATTTATTTTTGTAATAATTGTATACACGGAATTAGTGCGGACTTGGTGGATAATAAAAGTCGCGTTACAAATTATTATTATAATTGAGCAATTTAGTAAGGATATAGACAAGTAAATAATAATAAATAAAGTTAACTAGCTTTTACTTATCAAATATTTTTAATTTAATCTACAGATATCTATTTCGCACGGTATTAACGTCAAATATATAATATACATGATCGATTTTCATAGATATCGGTAGAAACATTGGTTTTAGAATCTAGGAAGGCTTCGATTGCAAGCTTTGCGACTGTTTCTGGAACCCAGGAGCTGTCGCCATCTGTGTCGCAACGAGTAAAGTTGGAAAGTGATTTTGAACCCAACAGATACCGTCGCAGGTCGCACATTTGACTATTGGAATATTTAGTCGTAAAAGGATACATTAAAGTAACCGTAAAGGCAGAGATTGGAATAGAAATGGTGTGTTTCCAACAATAACGTGTGTTTTTTTATCCCAAAGGATTAATAAGAGGTATATATTATGCACCAAAGAACTAAGGCGTCTCTTATTTAATGTCGAGGGGGAAATTCGGTGTTTGCAACTGGGGCTCTACCGGTTAAAAGGTTGTTTAGTTCCGAGTATACAGGAAGTTTCGTTTAAAACTCTCCATATTTCGAAAATTAAAAGATATATCTAAGATATGTAAAAAGTATTGTATAGTTTATATAGTTGACAATTCTGAGTATAAATGATATTTCTTTTTGTAACAATATACCTAAATGGCATAGCGAGCCAAATATTTTTTTTTTGATAACTTTGGAAATTGAAGTGCATAACTTTTGTTAGGTATATAAACAATTTTCATAAACGTTTAAGGAAATATTTTAACCTAAGAGTGCTATTTTAAAGAATAAAAGTTGTTTAACCTCTTTTCAAATTAGTTTTAGGTCGGATATACGCTTTGTAACTTCTTTCATATTTCAGTTTTATAAATACTTGGTAGGTTTTAAATGAAATTATGTTACTTTATTTCTAAATTATAAAAAAGTCGTTATTTCAGGGGATGTTTATAATAAGTATAATAATCGAAAATATGTCTGTATTTTTATTTCGTAGGTACATAATCACAATATTTACAGAATTTCTATTCTTCACTATTTTCCATATTTGAGACCGAAATTAAAAATCAAACCAAAATTATCAAAATTGTTTTATATTATTACTTCAATGATTAAAATTGACAGTTTCCTTCTTGAAACTAGGGAATAAGATAAAATTTGTTGGCAGTGGAATACAAGTATTCAAATGGGTTCCTAGGTAATGCAATGTATTCTTTTTTGAAACGAAAACTTCTAAATATATTTAGATAGAAAATTCCAAACTACCTGTTGATTGAATAAAGAATATTGAAATATATAAAATAATCATAATGGCGTCAAAACTCTAGGCTTTTTATCCCCACTACCATGAAACCAATTTTTTACTTTTAATTTGAAAATCATCATCACAAGTTTCATTCATCTACATCAAACGTTTGCGGAGATATTTGATTAAATGTAGACATTTTCTTCAACACCCTGTATCTCGAAAATGAGTAGTTTTAAGCCCATGGTTCTGATGTAAAGTCATCCAAAAAAAAAATCACATGCCCATTAAAAGAAAAAATCAAATCTGGTGAACATGAAACATTCAGTAATAGAAAAGTATTTTTTCCATTGACATTTTCTTAAACCTGAAATATAAATAAAACACAATTCATTTCGACATGATGTTCAAATGCGTTGAGTATAATGATTAGCACAAATATATATCAACCAAATGTGAGCATAAGTACTCGTATATTGAGATACCTACTATCTCACAAAATATCTGTATTGATAGTATTCAAATTTAATCGTTTGGGGTTAATTTTTATTAAATTCACAAATAAAGCCTTCAATAGCAAAAGAGCATCTTTATAATTGTTAGTTTATTTGCTCAACCCGGTGTTTACAAAAAGTACAATTTTCATTTATATTTTGAAAATATTATACAATTGTAAGTTAGATGTTTTAGTTTTATAATATGTATATACCGTAGTCCGTAATAGCCACGAATTTTGAAGTAGAACCTCACACTTTGCATTTAAATTAATAACATTGACATAACAAAATTATTCAAACTAGTCGCCGTCGGATGTGAATATTATGGTTTTGCAAACCAATTTATTTGTTCGTGATGACATGTTTCCTACCTTCTTTCGTGTGATGAAATAAGAAAATCAACCTTTCGTTACAACAATAAGTTATAAGTATTCTATTATAATAAGTAGGTAATAATATTGAATTATAATACATATATCTTTTAATTTTATTTTCATGAAATTAACTACATATCAGAATTTTTCTGAGAAATAATGTGGTTATAATTGAAAGTTTAATATCGTTTTCTTTCATTTTCATACTGTATTTCGACTAGATATACAGATATTAACTTTTAAATGAATTACAAAATACTATTTATATGTTATATGTTTATATGGATTGCAGTTTTTGAAGCATTTTCCTTTTTATTTAAACATAATTAAAATCTTAAATCTCCTGAATCATCATTATAGTACCTACACCAAGTGTATTTTTTAACCTGAAACATTCAAATACCTTGAGAAATAAGTACCACACAAAATTTTTGTTGCAGATTCGAATTCTACTGCTAAATGTACGCAGGATTTGTCTGAAACTTGTTTTTCATATTTCTATAT